TTGACTCTTGGATATTTAATTAGAATCTTTAGATCTTCAGCATATTTAATTTAGAATTTCAGATCTTTAGACTGATTCAATGCAGAATTTTTAGACATTTATAATTGGAATTTTTCCAATCTTTCAAATTGTAGCCTTAGAAATTGTGCTTCCCTTTTTCCTTCTTCTTCTTCTTCTTCTTCTTCTTCTTTTAAATCTGTATATATGAGTTTTTAACTCTTGACTCTTGGATATTTAATTAGAATCTTTAGATCTTCAACACATTTAATTTAAAGTTTCAGATCTTTAGACTGATTCGATACAAAATTTTTAGACATTTATAATTTTTCCAATCTTTCAAATTGTAGCCTTAGAAATTGAAAGAAATATTCCTTTTTTTTTTTCGTGTCGTTGGGTTCAATTAAGATTGCACTATATGCTACCGAGGTGTCTCTGTTTTCTTTTCTCTAAAAAAAAAATTTTTCCCCTCCCCAGCAATTTTCACTATGCGAACAAATGTCGTTAGATTCTCTTTGGACGGGGGAAAGTTGAGAGATGTTCACCGTGGGACACACTCACTGGGCAAGTGGTGTGTTGCAATCGGTCTTAAATGTCACTGGAAGGAACGAATCGCTCCTCGTTACGAGTACGAGGCACGCTAGATAAGCATCGTTTCAAATAATTTATTACTCACGAACGCAAAAAAAAAAAAAAATAATAATAATAATAATAAAGTTCCGTAGATCATCTCATGTCGATTTACAAATTACCTCGAATAAGCGGAAGCCATTGTTACATGATAAATAAAAAAAATACTGGAACATTCCCGTGAATGGAAGCAGAATTTTTTTTCTTTTTTTTTTTTTTTGCCATAATTTTCTACGAATCTTCTCCAATCCTTAATTTAAGTATCCTTCATTTCAATAAGTTTCTTCGCTCGAGCCAATTTGCAGATTATAACTTGCCGATCACAGAAGACACTTTGCAAGTTTCTCCCTACTTTACCGATCATCTCGGAAAATTTCACTTTCGCTCGGTCGTTTGTTTCTCTTTGGATGCTCCAGAATTCTATATTATTAGACTTTTGGCAAACACGCCGCTCGAAATAATCCGCTGCTACTACGTAAAAAACTCTGTAATAAAATTCAAAATTTGAGTGTATCGCGCAGTTGTTGAAGAATTTCGATTGACAATTAGTGATTAGACGAAGGGGGGAGGGTATATAATTTTGGTACGATTTTTTTTGGTTTTTAATATCGATCGAATGGCGGACGAGTTTGATTTCGAGAGATCGCGTTACGGATCCAGATAGGCTTTGCCACGGCAAAGTTCTAGAAATCCCTTTCGCGCTCGACTTTCTGACTCATCGTAAGCGTTCTACAAGCGGCTATAAGCGTTTCTAGGGATTCTAAAACGTTCTCGTAAATTCCGAGAACTCTTACAATTAACCGCTCACCTTTAGAACTCTTAACTCTTTCTTTCTTTCTTTTTCTTCCCAAGTCGATTTAATCAGTTTTGCTTAGTCGGTTTGAAAAGGCTGATTATGTACACGACTCGCGTGGAGAAGAAATTGGTTCTCGCATTACACTATCGAAAGTCGTTTGTCGAATGTAACACGCACTTTCTGCATGTTCAGTTAAGCAGAAATACGTATAGATAACGTATCGATTGGCCGATATCAAGGGCCTCGAATTAAATGGAATTACAATTCTGATTGTCAGTCGCGTGAATTTAAATCCTTACAAGATCTCATATCGAGGAACGTATCGTGCGACGAAGCAATTTTCATAACTTTTCAATCGTTTTATCGGAGCTCATTTTTTTTTTTTACTAAGCACTGAGAGAAATTTCTCGAGAATTTTCAACTTTCTGTAAGTGTCCTGGACGCAAATAAAATTGAAAGAGATATGTTGCAATGTTGCTCGATATTTGCGAGATAAATTTAAATTTACTTATCCCTGGTTACAAATATTAGGCCAATAAATTAATGAATTAATTAATTTAATAGTTTGATAATTTAACTGTTTTAATTTAATAATTTAATTAATTAAACGATTAAATTGATCAATTAACATATCGGTCTAATATTTACAACTGTGTAGATTTCTACTGTATCGATCTAATATTTACAACTGTGTAGATTTCTACTGTATCAGTCTAATATTTACAACCATGTAGATTTCTACTATAATTTGATCTCTAACTGTGGTATAACATACCTAACTGTATACAACAGATCTATTGTCAGTTTTGATGAAACAATCGCAAGATCGGAGAGAACCAGCGCAGAAGAAGAAGAAGCTTGGAAAGTCAATGGATCGTGAAATAAGATAATTATCATGCAAATACTACAAGGACTGAATCTAAATCTAAACGATTCGAATCACGAGCGCGACGTTCGTGGGCTTTCAGTCGATTAAGCCTCCCCTCCAGCTGCGCTGAACTCGAAGCTCTCCTCCACCGTTTACTTCTCCAAGCGTTTTTTCTTTCTTTTCTTTTTCTACCGAGGTAGGTGTTGTAGCCTATATGCACTATGTACAATAGTAACGAGAGCTACGTAAACACGTGCCAGGCGCGAGGTTAATTCAATTTCCCAATTTCTGCAATTAATTGCGATGGTCGCACGCCTACTTGGTTACATCGCGATCGTGCTCGTGTTCACGTCGGCATGAAATTCCTCGCGCGAGCCTTGCCTCGGTGTTTCGAGTATCTGCTTCTTAAGAATTCCTTGATCAACATTGTCGGAACATTCTGCATGAATGAGAAATTTGGCCAAAGGGACAGGACGAGGCGGCGAAAGTTTCCTTCCGATCGAAAATCTCCTCGGCGATGGAATAAAATTTTTTTCGTTTAGGGCGTCGTTTCTCAGAGGGAATGAACTTTGAACACGTTAAAAATATACCTCAAGTACACGCGTACACTTGATAAACTTTCAAACTGGATTTTTCCAAAAACGTCTTACAGAATTTTACTTCACGTTCTTTACTTATTTTCGCACGTAGAATAACCCCCTGTCAATTATTGTTTTCTCTCGTGTTCAGAATTAACTGAATTCAAGTATACTCGATGAAACAATTTTATTCCTTTCTTCTTACGACTTGTTTTTTCACGTAGATTCACCTTCCAGTCGCAAGACCCTGTGTATATATAGATTAGGTTTAGGTTAGGTTTATATGTATACACATTTAAATGAAAAGAAACGACCATTCATCTTCATAGAAAAGTGTTCGAGTGAAATTAAAATTGATTGTTTGAAATTAAAATTAATTCTGTAAGATTAACTTCGTCAACAGCCTTAAAACTTTGTGCATCGAAAGATTTGGACGATATGCATTATGAATCTGTCGCGTGACGTCCGTGATTTTCCGTCGAAATGAGCTAAATAACCTCATTTATGTGCAAATCTGTTCTTCGACTGTGATATTGATGCAGTTGTTTGCGCGTACATGAAATTCGATGCCGATTGATTTTATTAACTATATTGCCTGTGTATCGAGTATCGATGACAATTGTATCGATAAAACGAATATCGAATGATCTGCTCTTTGAAATTGTCGGTGTCCAATGTCTGGTAATACTTGCAATTGTGTTCACGAAGCCTCTTAACCCTCTATGGGCCGAATATTTTTCTTAACTATAAAAAAATTTATGTAACGTAAAATCAATAAATATCAGCCTATATTACAGATTAACAATGAATTCAGCAGTATCGATTTTATAACGAATAATAAAACTGACATTTCAGGTGTTATTAAGAATGTTACTGGTTAATGAGAAATTGTAAAGCAAGACGCCATCTTGTGGGGAAAAATTCAATTATTTAATAAAATATCGATACATTGGTGTGCGACTTAAATGTTACACGGGCCTATGGAGGGTTAATTTCAATTTTACGAATGTTCAATTTCGCGGTGTTTCTGACACGAATAATATATAATACGTGTTAGCTACTATTTATATCTTAATAAATTTTGAAATATTGGCAATGCTACTATGAAAACAAATATTTAACAATCCTGAAACGTAGTTTGCAGGATTTTTAACATCTGAGTTGTTGAGTGTTTTGAAATATCGACTGCTTCATTGTACGTAAATTTTCCGATTTTTTAAATCTGCTGCGAATACTCGTGTTTCCTGGATATTTTGCCCAACATATATGTAATACACACACATACACACACATGTATATTGCAGCAAAGTTTTCTCATTATTCTTCCAACGCTACCTTCTAAAATGGTCAAAATGATCAATTTAAAATTTTTCATGAAAATTTTATATATTTACAATAGTGTATTTTCAGAGACTCGAATGGTGTTTAAAAAAATATTGTAAACTTTTTTCCTGTTCCTTTCATTTTCTGCTACAAATTTTACATCTGATCGTGAATCTAGTGTTAATAAGAGAAATGAGAATACCCACGTAGTACAAGTAAACAAAAGTATTAAATGTCGACAGGAGGATGCGAACCTGACACCAGAGGAAAAGTTGATGGAAGAAGCAGCGATCGCCGAAACTGAGAAACGGTTGTATGTAAGGAGGAAATTTTTGGCGGAGAAGTGCGCCGAAGAGGGTTTGGACACACCTGGCAACGATTCTCTTCACAGACCGAATGCTTGGGAATTTCTTGTAAATAGAGAGTATCATTTAATATGGTGCAACGTGTTCAAAGCGGCCTCTACCTCTTGGATGTACAATTTCAATTTACTCGCAGGGTAAGTAACACTAAACGTTCCTCAACTATCAATTACAGCTGGAGACTGGATCAATTTTTGTATATTCAGATATATTTGGAATTACGTATGTTTGAAGTACATACGTTCACATGCTTTTCGTTTTATCTTTTCAGTGAGTTTTATTATTGATTTTTGTGCAAGTTTATCTAAAAAAAGAAACAAAACCTAAATGGAAATTTGTCGTATAAATATAAATATTACTTAATAAATATAATTTACTATGTACATATGTATAATGCATATATCGTATTATTTGTTATTTAAGTTTATATATAAATGTTATATTTAAATAATCTTTACTAACATATGTAAATTATTACGTACAGAGATTAAAAACCTCTTATTCAGTGGTTTAAACTTTTAACGTTATAAAATAAAATATTCAATGCTTGTGATGATCCAACCTCCGGGATAAATTTAAATAAACCTCAACTTTGGTCAAACTTTACAAATCTCTTTCAGATACAGCCCACAGTTTTTAAAAGCCTCGAAGGCTGTGCCTGTTTCTTTGGCGAGGCAGAAATATCCCAGATACACGGCAGATGAGTTGAACAAGTTCCTAAACGACAGCATCAGTTTCTTGATAGTGAGACATCCATTCGAGAGGTTGCTCAGCGCCTACAGAGATAAATTGGAGCACAGCTTGCCACATACATTTCACAGTAATCTTGGTGCCCATATTGTTTGGAACTACAGGTCTAAAGTAAGAATTATCTGTCATTGATGGCACAGTTTCATCAATTTGATTCTGAGCCTATTGAATTTAAAAGTTCTTTGCTTTTCAATTAGGATTCAAAAACAAATGGACGACACGGTCCAAGGTATCCACTCTTTGAAGAGTTTGTACGATGGTTGCTATGTCAATGGAGAGCCGGAAACGAACTTGACATGCATTGGACCCCAGTTGTGATCTTTTGTACACCGTGTCAAGTGCGGTTCGACGTGATTGCTAAGTTTGAAACGCTTCATGTAAATATCTTTCTAATAAGAATAGTAAGAATTGTTATATCTTAATTGATAATAATTATTATTTTAATTATTTCCAAAGGAAGATCAAGATTATCTTATAAAACAAGCTCACGTGGGTCACATCATTAAGCCTGAATGGAAAAACCCTACTAAAGGCGTTCAAACGAAAGACGTGATTAAGAATTATTTCGCTCAATTATCAAAATCGCAGATCAAAGATCTCTATGAGATGTTTAGGTGAGTGTATTAAATGGAGACGACTACAACGTCTATTAAATAGGAACGTGTTCCAATTAATTATTATTTCATCATATAAAATGTATAAACTTTAGCTCCACATTAATTTTGAAACTATAACTGCGTTATGTCGTTTCGATTTACAACATCTTGTTTAAGAGATGACAGAAGATGTTGTTAAATTATACATGTGCGTATGATAATAAAATATTTTTGTTATTTCAGGTACGATTTCGTGCTTTTCGGTTATTCTCCCGACGAGTACGTAGCACTCGGGAGAGATGAGGACACAGTATTAATCTGTAAAAAGTAATGCTAACATTTCGTACATTCTTGACAAGCGCGTAATCAGCGCGTGAATTGTTCTACATTTACGTTTCAGTTCTTTAAACGTTGAACAACATGTTAAATGCAATTAAAGCATCGTTAAACAGCATCGATTACAACGAAAATATTTAATAGCAAACCAGAAACATAACAAGTCGTGCTCGAATTAACAATACATTTGCAAACCGCTACTGCTACATTTAAATCTTTTGACAAACGAGGCGTTACTAATTCAATTGTTAGAGGCTAAGGCAGAGACTAAGAAGGTCGTACCTATGAGAGAATTCCGTTGCTTAAATATCATACATGACAACTCTTGCGAGAGTTTTATGGTAAAGGTAATGCTCACTTCGTCGAATCTTTTCTGCTTCAAGTTCAAGAGAATGGGAATAGTTTATTATATTAGTCTGACAAAGAGTACTCTGCATTTCTTGTAGGAATATGTAGGAATAACGTCCCTCTTTCGTTTTAACTGAATTAACTGTTATAGAGTACAGTTCAATATGAATGCGATGATATTTTGTTACATCATATTGTTACGGATATATTTTAACTTGATTCAAGCAAGTCGAGCTAATTTTTTCGTGTTTGTATATTTTGGAGAATACGTATACATTTTCGCTGAATCTATATGTATATACCTGTATATATAAATATACATATACGTGTACTGATATGAATATTGTTGCAATAGTAATTATTATCATTGTACCAATGATAATAATACTGCCTTCAGGAGATATATTATATATAATTGCATTAGTAAGATGTATGTTAAATTGTACAACTTCCAAATGCAAAGGTATTCAGAGTAAGTTTGAAGTTTTCCAGTATTTACTTGTATTTTAAATCTGGTGTTTGCGTTCATAGTTTATACGCCTTTGCGATAAGATGGCCTTTTTATAGACTTATTTGAGTCTATGAGAGTTTCTTTTAGTCTGTAAGACTCATTTAAAAGCATGAAACATTACATTGTATGTACTTAAATCTAATACAAATTTTTCATTAATCGAGAAACTTCTTGTGAATAAAATTGAATTGTTTGTAAAATTTATATGAGACGAAAGTGATACAATGAATTTTAATTCCCCAAATTATAAGCACAAAACGACAATAATTATTTTACAAGGCAAAACTATTTAAGAAAAAACAATTAATCGGATTGAAATTAATCAAGAAAACAGCAGGATAGACGAGATAGACAATTTGTTAGATTATCCAAGGTATAAATATAAAAATATCAATGCTATTGCAATCATATTATCATCGTTGTTTCTTTAATTAGATTAAAATTTACGTAGAATCCTTGGAGAATCAAGCATCTATCTGTGATTGTTAGCAACGTACTTACTTGTTCGAACAGCTGTTGATCAACTCAACTCCGATAATCCATTTATCAATGAAAACATATTTCCAATTGCTGTTTATTACCAAAAATTCATGAAGGAGCTTACTAACTTCGTATTTCTTCTTCTTCACGACCAGTTGTCCATTTATTGTGTACAACTACAAATTGTATATACCAAGTTTAATATACTTTAACACTTGTTGAACAATTGTTATAAATATAATGTATCCATGTTCCCTTTCGTACAATTCCTCGTTACAATGTATGAAATTCATCTGTCCCACTGATCTCGACTTACGAACCTCCTTTTACTAACAAATTGATATTAAACAATCGGTTGGAATCAAATATATTTTTCCACTTTTATGAAACACTTTGGAGGAAATTTTTGGTTAACTAATAAAAGAGATTATTTCTTTTTCTTTTTAATTAATAAAAGAAATTATTTTTCATCGTATAGTAACGTAGATCGTACAGTTTATTTGTTATTAATATTGATTTTTTTAACGAACTCACGTCACTGTCAGAATCCGAAGTTGTATCCTCTCCGTATCGAGCTTGTTTGTACAAGGATTCTAAAGTACGTCTGGCCATATCCTGAACATCTTTGATGTCGTTTGTTGCTTTCTCGATTCGGGTTTGCACGTCCGACGACACTCTCGTCAAATGCTCCTCTATAGGATTGCATTTCGGAGTCGAAATCGGGAGCTCCTCGTCACTAAACACGAACATATCATCGTCCATCGAATTCATTTGTATTTTTGTAAAGTAATACGATACTCGATTAACTGACAAATTACTCTATACGTATTCGCGCCGCTACTGATTTGCGTGACACATCACGTACAAATCATCCTAGAGTAGCAAAGGTTTCATTCGAACAAAAGATATTTACATATATCGAGAAAGCATCATTAAAATCTTAGTATTCAATTTGCAATTCTGATATAATCATATATTCATAATAATCCAATTAATACTTTATACTCTATACTCTATATTCCATTCAATGAGTCGAGAGATACATCGAAAACAAACCACGTGATCAAAATCTAGGGGAAACAATCAATCAACTATTCTGACGTATTACCAAAATGAAACTGTTTCTCCAAATATTAATTTCTTAAATGAAAAGGATCAAATATCATTTTCATTTCTAAAATAATTTGACATTTCCTAAAATAATCGAAAATCATTTGGGTACAATATAATCATTTTATACATAACCCGTACATGTGCATATACATGTACATTTATACTATTTATATGCACTTTAGTAATTAACAACGTTGCCAAATATTTAATATAAAATCACCAGTGATACATCACGTAACAAACATTTTTAAAATATAATTTCGAGTCGTAACAAAAATGCACAAGTGTCAAGTAACATATGTAAAATGTACACAAATTAAATAATAGCAAGGTTTTCTATTGTCTATCGAGTCTACCTAGAACCACCGACCTTTTAATTCCTAGTTCAGTCGATAAAAAGAAGTGCACGTACAGCTACAGATGTAGGTACGATGATTCATAAATGATAAAATAACCGTACTACAAAGGAAAATTTTATAATTTATTTTAACGTTTACATGATACAAAACTTTGGATGAATTACGACTGACGACTGTTTATTAATTTCTTAACAACTGTTATATATCTTGGAAATTTGTTTGTAACTTGGTAACCAATAATTTGTTGTGTCTCCATGGTAACTTTTTATAAAACTGAATAGATGTCGCTACACAGAGAGATGCAATGCGCTGCCATCTATTGGATTGGATTTTTTTATGTTGTAGTTCCAATCCAAGATACTTAAATAGCAGCACTATGCGCAAATATATAGAGGTTTACTTTTTTTAATTAGCAATATTAAAATATTTTCTTATGTATATGTAAAATAGTTTCTTATGTATATTAAATAATTTCTTATGTATATGTCTATTTTCTTCTCTATTTTCTTTTATCGACATCGCCGCTATTCCACTTGGTTAAAAAGGTACACAAACAAAGTACAAACAATAAAATGGGACAAGGAAGAAAATACTGATTAATTTCATTGTTCCATCGCTGCGTGGCGGTAGCATCTCACTACTCATAAATTGAACAAATTTTCATCTGAAAAAAAACCAATTTAGAAGGTTAGCTTGTGAACTTCCGTAATTGTGCTCGAGTAACTGAAACATTAACTTTCTTTCTTCGTCGAGATTGTTCGTAATTTTGTGAAGAAATTGGTATTTAATACGAACTGCACTGAACTTTCAACGCGTGACGATATCTCCAAAATATACCAGGATACCAAAAAATAGATTTGAGTATCAGATCTATTAAATGTCCCTAATCAATGCCCTAGAATCTAGGGAATTAGATCTTACAACTTTGTAACACAAAAATACGTACCAAAACGTTGCATCTATCTTATCTTTCTATTTATGGTCTGTCTTGTATCGCGTTCGCGGTTACAATGATGTAATTCCCACATTCCTACTGTAGGTAGAGCAGGGATCAGTGCAGGAGAAGGTTCATCGAGTAATCACAGGTCAATGGAAAATAATTAAGAGCTGCATACATTCGTTTTTGGTACAATCAGAGAGAAAACTTAGAGAGAAATATGTGGCTAGAGGAATGCGACAGCTTCGCCGAACTATGCCGAGGATATTTGCCGTATTATTTACTGATAATCTTGCCGATCTTTATTATCATTTCTCCGGTGAATCCAGTTGCCGCCTCGCACGAATTCCCCGTCTATCGAATGCACCAGTATGACTTACACGGTGTACCGCACGGTAAGGAAACGTCGTTTTCTCTGGATCCTCGTCTCATTAACTCGATCAACAATTTTTTTTTTTAATTAATACGATTTCTGATCAGGTTGCCGTAGCGCTCCAATTTCTTTGGAAGCAAGATCTCTTACAGGATGGAGCACTTCCAGGCATTGCGTAGTGACGAAAGCACTGAGTCTTACCCCTAGTCTGTTTCATTCCATCAAGCACAAGGCTGGAGCTTTGATAGTGATCTTACCAGAAAGACTCACCGAATTGACGTTGGAGGAGAAACAGGTTCATTCGCTTTGCTTCTGATGGATTCTTCTCTGTCAAAAAAAATACGAATTTTTATTATCTTGTTACAGCATATTATGAGTCTAGAAGAATCTATGATGTTTGGACCGGAGACAACGATGCCAGTGTATTTTACTTCGTGGCATCCTGATCTACAGACAATTTTGGATAATCTGTCCAATGGTTTTATTACCGATGAGAAAGCTGGATCTGCAGCTGAGGCGATGTTTAATTCTATATCAGCTAGCGGTTACCAGGTAGTAGTGGCAACTGGACAAACACTAGCCAAGACAGATGTAAAAGTAGCCACTTTGCATGGGAAATTGACTGGTACTGGAGCAGAGGAGAAGTTACCAACTATAGCCTTGGTAACGCATTATGATAGTGCTGGCGTCGCACCTGTAAGTGCTAATATAAATGTCTATTCATACAGTTGCTAAGAATGTTAGAAATAAAGCACGTATTTTGTTGCTAATAAATAGGAGTTGTCTTTCGGCGCAGACAGCAATGCATCAGGAGTGACAATGCTACTGGAAATAGCACGATTGTTTTCCAGTTTGTATTCCACTAGTAGATCGAGACCTCAGTACAATCTGGTGTTTATTGTGACTGGTGCTGGTAAACTTAATTACCAGGGCAGTAAAAAATGGCTGGAGGATCAATTGGATGGACTCGAAGGCTCAATAATCCAAGTATATATATTTGAAAGATTTCTGTCGTTGTATGCAATATTGCAAAATAGTTTGAGATAATAATGTAATATATTGGATTTCATTGTTAGGACGCAGCATATGTCATTTGTCTGGACACAGTGTCCACCAGTAATAATCTTTACATGCATGTCTCAAAACCGCCTAAAGAAAATTCCATGGGTGGCCTTTTTTACAAGGAACTTAAAACTGTGTCTGAGCTGTTGAACTTTACCACTGTCGAAGGCATACACAAAAAGATTAACCTCGCTGAGGAAACGTTGGCTTGGGAGCACGAGAGATACAGCATTCGTAGACTGCCAGCCACGACTCTGTCTAGTTTGAAAAGCCACGAAGATCCAACCAGAACAACGATTTTAGACGTTATACAAACAGGGCAGATAGACAAATTATACAAACATACGCAAATAGTTGCAGAAGCGTTAGCGAGACATATTTACAATTTGAGTTCTAGTCAGATTTTTATTGATTCACTGGTATACAGTTTTTTTATCATTTAACTACTAAGAAAATAAATTTGTGTTGTATCAACTTTTACCTTTTTCAGGAAGTTTCCAAGGAGTCATTATCTTTATGGTTTAATTATTTAGCGTCGCAACCAAGAGCTGCTCCGTTATTGGCAGATAAAAATAACATGTTAGTTGGTACCTTAAAAGAAGCAATGGCTAGGTATTTGGGTGATGTTAAAGTTACTTTGCACAGTCCTGACAAACAGGATCCAGAATTTGTATTTTATGATGTTACAAAAGCAATGCTGAATGTATACAGGTAAATACTATATAACTTCACATCATTATCGATACGATTTCTTGTGGATAATGTAGATTATTGTATTTCAGCGTAAAACCAGCTGTATTCGATCTCTTTCTTACAATTGCTATCATTATATATTTGGGAGTTATTTATGTGATCGTGCATAATTTCCCGCGCGCGTATTCTTTAGCAACTCGTTTCTCTGTAAAAAATGTGAAGTCGTCGTGAAATTGCGTCAAACTTCATTCATTCTTTAACAAATTTAATATATAATGAGTAAGTGTAATGATCAAAACTGTCTGTACATTAATTCTTATTCACATTAACCTTAAATTAAAGATCATCTACACGTTGTATCTCGGGTAATTTGTAAATGTTACATGATTGTTTAATTTCAACTCCAACTTTCGTCCACGTTTTATCTTCATCAAAGAAGGATAACACAAATAACAGAGTATATTTAGAAGAGAGGACATTGTTCCTCGTTTTGTGAATTATTATATATAAGAACACGTGATAAGTAAGACCAAGTAATAACAGACCAAATAGTGAGACTTCAGAATGCAATTTATGAAGAAAAAGACTGGCAAATTATAGCAAATACAAAAGTTTAGTAATAGATACAATTCCAAATCGTAGATAGAATACTAGGACGTTAGTTTTATTTAAATGCAGATCTAATATGTACTTCATTTAATAGGTATTATCATGTTCGCGACACATGATATACGTGTAATATAACAATTTTGAATATATGTATATCACCTAAATTAAGATAATTCTATACAGGTAGTGTTACAAAGCAAATGTTTTTAAAAATTTTCTTGTTAAAAAGTACAGAAAACTGTTTGCCAAATATTAATATTATAAAAACATTTATCAGATGGAGCAAGAAAAATTGGAGAGTGAACTATTTGAATGTAGCATTTAAATAGAGCATAATAAATATTTATTAACGATTATTTAAATGCAAATGGACGAAATGTAAAAAGCTTGTAAAATAAATGTGATGGAAAATAATTATTGGTTTTTATATTTTTCACCCAAGTTGGAATATTTGATACATTTCTTATTAATATAGACCTTGTACAAAAGATCATATAAAGGCTACCTTCTATAGAAAAATATGCAAAGGCTGAAGATCCAAGATTAGATACATAAACAAACAGGTTTGCCTCATTATACTTTCACTTTACTGGAATTAGACGTCGTTCAGTGTTTAAAGTGTATTACAAAATTGTAAAATACACAAAAATGAATACTATTCTTAACAAAAGTATCTTAGTCTTATTAGATTTTAATTCAACTATAATTGTAAACAAAAAGATTAGGTTTTTAATTGTTTATTTTCTTGACAGATTTAAAATTTAAAAATAAGAGATGGACATTGGAAAGACCTATGAGCCTTTTAACAGAATGCGTGACACTGGAATTAGAAATTGTAGAAAAAGCTGGTACTTGGAAAAAGGAGCGAATAATCACTTCACCTCAACAGACACGGATCGTACTAGCAAATGGAACACAGGCATTAAATTTTTGTGCCAACAATTATCTAGGCATGGCAGTAAGTATTAAAGAAAGTATTAAAGTTTATAAAGTAAATTAACAACTGTTTTTATCGCAACAATTAATTTCCCATTGTTTTGTAAATTTAGAATAACAGAGAGGTCATCTCTGCCGCAAAACTTGCTCTGGACAAGTATGGAGTAGGTTTGAGTTCTGTAAGATTTATATGTGGTACGCAAGACATTCACGTGGAATTAGAGAACAAAATTGCTCAGTTTCACGGCAGAGAAGATGCTATTCTTTATGCATCTTGTTTCGATGCAAATGCGGGATTATTTGAGACATTGTTAACGTCTGAAGATACTGTTATAAGTGATGAGCTTAATCACGCGTCTATCATCGATGGTATCAGATTATGCAAAGCAAGCAGACATAAGTAAGTTAAATTATTGTGCATTTTTTTTTATTGTGTAAAAATACATCACGTTCTGTAAAGGTACAAGCATAGGGATATGGCAGATTTGGAAAATAAACTACAAGCTAGTATGTCTTCGCGTTTGCGACTAATTGCAACTGATGGTGTCTTTTCTATGGATGGCACCGTCACACCATTACCAGAAATATTAGAGCTTGCAAGGAAATATAACGCTCTCACGTTTGTAGATGATTGTCATGCCACTGGATTTTTTGGAAAAACTGGAAGGTACATTATGTTTAAGTGCATTATATTATTGAGTAATAAATAATTTAACCATAATGCTTGTTTTAATATATAATATCAATTATCATAGAGGCACAGAGGACTATTTTAACCAATTAGGGTGTGTTGATATCATCAACTCTACATTAGGTAAAGCTCTTGGTGGAGCAGCAGGTGGTTATACAACTGGCAAAAAGGAACTCATTAATTTGTTGAGACAACGTAGTAGACCATATTTATTTTCAAATTCATTGCCGCCACCCGTAGTTGCATCAGCAAGTAAGGTATGCAAAAGAAATGTTAACTTTTAATAATGATGCTGCAAAAGTAATTGAAGATATAAAGAGAATGTAGATCGTCTATATTTTTATCTTTTAATGCAATATGTAGGTCATGGACCTAATAACAAACTCTACGAAATTTTTGGATCGTTTAAGGAACAATACCAATTTGTTTAGAAATAATATGAAAGCAGCAGGTTTCACAATTGCTGGCGACAATCATCCTATCTGCCCTATTATGATAGGCGATGCAAGATTAACGATTGAATTTGCTGATAAAATGATTGGTAAATATTTATAATATATCGTGTAAAGTTTCATTAACATATAAAACGATTGTTTTTTGCTTACAGAACAAGGAATTTATGTTATTGGTTTTAGTTATCCAGTAGTGCCAAAAAATAAAGCACGAATACGCGTTCAAATCAGTGCTGCACATTCGCAAAACGACATAGATTATGCCATAAACGCATTTGTACACGTTGGAAAAAAATTTAATATTATTAAATGATATTTCTTTTTTATTCTCATGAAAGTTTCTACTACATTTAAATATTTCTAAATCAAATTAATAATGTAAAAAAAGAAAACAAAATTACGTATATGATTAAATAACGTTTAATGTACAATTATACCAAACTGGAACTTTTAATACATGCAAAGATAAGCTACTGTATTAAATATTATAAATAAAAATTACTTTTATAAAATAAAATGTAAAATTATCTTAAGTTAAGTAAAAAGCTTCATCGTGTATAAGATTTCTTTAGTTTGAAAAGTTTTTGGTTACATGTCAAAGTCATATATTTTTATGAAATGTTAATTATACAGATGTTAAGATTTATATGGTTTAACAAGATTTTCCGAAAATTCTTTGACTTGTAAGACTCCTCGAACTTCTTTTTCTAATAAAGGAAGTCGGGTGATATGGAAATCTTCATAAAGATCCATTATCTAAGAAAAAATTTGTTTGATTAGTTTCTCAAACTTTTATACAAAATGATCAAATTACAATATTTTTACTTGCCTGTTCTAGATATTTGTCTTGTATTTTATGCCTGGCAAGACACAATCTACAAGGTACATCACCTTCTTTCAAGAATAACAACTGATTCACTATGATATTATGAGTATCTATACCACATTTTGTTAACTCTTGTACAAGTCTTTCTGTTTCATATAGTGACAAAAATTCCGCTATACACACACAAACAAATGTAGTTTGGTCGGGATTTTTAAACTGTTCATTCACTTGTCGAATGACAACAAGCATCTCTTCTATTTTGTTACAGAATGTATCTACATTGAAATCTGTCATTCCCAATAACGAACTAATCTGTATTCAAGCAATTTTGAAATCAGAATACTGACCAAAGCAAGATTACAAGTCAAACTAAATCTTTCTAACCTGTGTAATGAAAGGGCTGATCTTCATCTTCAGACGCATTAATTTCCCCAAACCTTTCTCTACTACATGTGGGAATGACAATAATCTTAAAGTATGACCGGTGGGTGCAGTATCAAAAACAACAACAGAGAAATTCATTCCTTTGACCAATCTGAAAATAGTAACATATCAAGCAATAGAACCGTTATCATATATAAATGTCATCAAACAACAAAATTGTTCGTTATTAACTTCATCACTTCTGCGTAACTCATCGCCTCGTCTATACCAGGGAATGCTCCCACAATCTCCTGCATTATGCTTCTACTTAATCTCATGGCTTCTCCTCCTGAAACTGTTTTGTGTAAGCAACTATACATGTATGTTTCTTTATTCAGCTACCGATCATATTGCCCATACAATATATCGTGTCTGTACAAAATTTAAGCATTGATGAAACAAAATACCTGCTTCACTTTCAAAGTATTCCTCTGGTAACTCAGTGATGCCCACATTCGGATCTATTTCCATGGCGAAGAGATTTTCAAAACCCTTTACCTTTGTTGGAATTTTGCTGAACTTTTGGTCGAACGCGTCGGAAATATTGTGCGCCGGGTCGGTAGATATGATGAGCACATTCTCTCTGACTTTTGATAATTGTACGGCCAACGAGCAACTGAAAATCAACAAAATAGCGACTGAAATAATCACAAACAGGTGAAATTTTGAGGTTATGGCAGTACCTGCACGTCGTTTTGCCAACTCCGCCTTTGCCACCGACGAATATCCATCGCAGGGACCGTTGTTCGATTACGTTCTTGATCGACGGCTCGTATTCAATTACTTCTCCGTCGTTTACGCTCATATTCGTCAAACGAAGAACCGTGGTTTCAATTTCAACACGTCATTTACTATGTAACTATGTCGCTAGTCGTTAGAAGAAAGAGACCTACGAAGAAAGAGACAGTAGAAAAAAAAAAATTACACCAACTGTGTACATACGTATTATTGAATGTATAAAAACAAAACGAAACGTGTAATGTCATGTAAGAGACGAGATCATCGATGTTACTATCGAGTACGTATATAGTACGTACGTTCGTTCGTTGAAAGATGTCGTATGACTTTATTTTAATTACGAATATTATCGAACAGCTTATAGTTCGTTTATAGTTCGTTGCAAATCAAGTTTTTATTGTAACAACTTTGGATTGCTTGCAAGCACGAAAAATGTAAAAGCATAATTTTTAGATTAGTGAATACCTTCACTAATTTTTTAGGTTAGCGAAAAATTTTCATTATAGAAACATTACAGCTTATGATTCGTTACAAATTAAACTTTTATCACGATTTTATCGCAATAACTTCGGATCGTCTACGAGCATGAGAAATGTAAAAGCATCGTTTTTAAGTTAGTGAATGACTTTGTTAATTTTTAGGTTAGTGAACGTTATAAAAAGGTATCGAACGATATATTACTTTTAAATTACAATTAATAAATCCAGTTTTATTTTTCAATAGGTGCAATTCTAATTTACCCCCTCTCTTTCCAAATTTCAAGAAACGAACAACCACGCTTGCGTCGCGCGAACACGTTATTTGCTCGACCAACGAAGGACAAACTATCGAGAAAAGTAAATCGATTCCTTGTCGTTGCAAACGGTTTCAGCGCGCTATCGATCTCAATGTAGAATCGACTTCGCGAGTGACTCCGCCGATTCTACGATGATACGCGATAGATGCGGATGTGTGGTGCGACACTGTGGCGGATGGTGTAGCTTTTTAATGCTCGTCTAATTTGGAAATGCGCGAAGTGTCCGTAAATTGCGATACGAAACGTTAGGAGCGTTTACGGCGCAAAGGCTTGTTGCCTCCCTTGAGGTTCCATCGCGAGCGGTGTGATACCGAGAAATTGAATGTAGCATGCCGCAGTTTCACAAAGTCGAGATAAACAGGACCGAATGGGAGGTTCCGGAACGATATCAAATGCTTACACCAGTGGGATCAGGAGCTTACGGCCAAGTCTGGTAACAGTTTCAACATGAAGTTTCAATGATCGCACAGCTAATCGTATTTTTTTTATATCGTTTCTCGCACGAGAAATTACCCGTATATGTTGTTAATAATTCAGATTTAATTGCGAAGTGAAGAGCCAATCATAACCTTGACGTTTTGATAACCATCCATTGTCATTAAGATTATATATATATATATATATATATATATATATA